CTCAGCGCTGACCCTCTAAAAGTGTGGCACTCCCTTAGCACTCAGAGTTTCACATGTGTACATAAATCTGTTTGCTCCTTAGGCGTGCTGTCATTGTGTGAATGTTTTCTCTCTCTGTCTGCCCTTGTTGCTGCCTGTTTCTGCTGAATGTGGGCTTTACTCCCTTTGGGACATTCCAGGCGATGAATGGGTTGGATGTGCCTGTGATTCAGCCTGACTTTTGTGAAGGACTGGGTGGGGCTGAGGTGAATAATGAGTCAAAGTGTATGGAGTCTGCAATCACAGGTAGGGCTGGTGCCTACATTATGCTGGCAGCGACTAAATATCAGCTCTTTTAACTCAGCAACTGAGAGTGTCCTTCCCCTCCCATTCCTTCAAGACCCTCCTCCTCCTCTTCCCAGGCATCAGCCAAAGCCATCCCCTGAGGAAACCCCTCTCCTCAAACCCAATGTCTGCTATTTGGCTATGGGAGGCATCACCCTGTAGTTGTTACCTCGCATTGGGTGACGCTGGGGTACCTGTGATAACCCGTACAAGGCCCATGGGGGAATCACTCGTTAATCTCCTTGTGGAGCTTGTTGAGTATGAGTTCTGTTGGGAATCGGGAATGGCCTGCTGGGCTGGAACTCATCACCTGAGCCCTTGAAGAAGTAGCCTCATTTTTTTCGGTGTTCAACAGATGAATGATGTTCCTTTCCAGTCGGGCTTCCTGAGTTATTGCTGTGCCACCGTGGTCTAGCTTGACCTCCTCCCCTTTGACCCCGACCCCTGCATTCCAATGGGTCACTGAGGCCTATTGTCATCCCCATCTGCCATCCCACTGAGAAAACATTTACACAAGCTTTTTGGGTGCTTTTGGGAGGGGCTACACAGAATTCTTCTTTCTTTTCTCTCTCTCTCTCTCTCTTCACCATCCCTCACATACTCCCTCCCTCCATCAATCCCCTCTCATTCCTTCTCCCCATTTGTCTCGCTCACATGTTCACTCCTTCCACCATTCCTTCTCTTTCGATCCGCCTTCGTCCCTTATCTCCCTCCCCCCCTGCCTCAACCTCTCCATCAGCAGCTTGCTTTCAGCTTCATGCCCCTCCCCACACCCACCCAGACTCTCGGCTTGAGGTTAGGCCCTGAATATGTGAAAATAAAGCCTGGGCTGTGGGGGGGGGTTTGCTGGTTATTCCTGGTAGTACAATTTTGGTCAGATGGTGGAGGCAAAAGGTGAAGCCCTGTTCATACAGTGAGCGTTGGTTCTGGATATTGGGCTTTGTCCTGGATTTGAGGCCTAATCCCAAAGGCAAGGCCTGGATGTGAAGGTCAGGCATGATCGAGGAGGCGAGGCTTCAGACTTGGGGCCAAGGCCTAGTTAGGGAAGTGAAGCCTGTTTCAAGCAATGAGGCCTGTTCAGAAGATGAAGAGAAGCCTATTTCAGGATGTGAGGCCTGAGCCTGAAGGCGTGAGGCTTGGGGTGAGAGATGATGCCTTAATTGAGCTGAGGCCTGGTTTAGGAGGCCAGACGAGGGTGAGGACACATCCAGAATCTGAAGCCTGGACCCAGAGATGAGGCCTGGGTGGGGACATTAGGCCTGGTGTTGAGGGGGAGGCATGGTTGTGTTGATGAACTGCAGACCTGGCGCTGGGGCTTGGTTCTTGTGGCTCCATGTTCAAGAGGTAGGCAAAGTTTTTTCAATTTTAAAAAAAATTAATTGAATTCCAATTCCACAACTGCTGGAGTGGGATTTGAACTTCTCTTCCCCAGAGTAGTGGCTACTACGCCACCATCTTACCTCAGACCAGAGGTGGTGCCTTGCCTGTGTATTAAGAACCAGTCCTGGAGGTGAAACTCTGTCTTAGGACTGACGCCAGGCTGTGGAATCAAGGCCTGGTCCCAGAGATGGTCTGGGAGGTGAGGCCTGGTCCACACGTCTTCAGGTAGGTCCTGGTGAGACTTTGTAAACCAGTGACACCTGGTGAGGCCTGGGAGACCTGATCTGGGATGTGAGATCTAATCCAGGATGTGGCGCCTACGATTGGAGGTGAGGCCTGGTCTGGGTTTTGAAGCCTGGTGCAGGCTTTTGAGGCCCCATCCTGGAGGGGAGGCCCGGGCCTGGAGGCTGATGTCTGATCCTGGAGACGACGGTCAGTCCAGAACCTGAGGCCTGCCTGGTGAGGAAGGGAGGCCTGGTTTGGGATGCCAATGATTATCTCATCTGGTGGTAACGCCTGATCTGAACTTTGAAGCCTGGTCCCAGGAGATGACGCCTGGACCTAGAGATGGGGCCTGCTCCCAGATATGTGGCCTGGTCCAGGAGGTGAGGCCTAGTTCAGGAGATGAGGCCTTGGTCTGGACATTGTCTATATGGACTTCAGCGAGGCATTTGGCATGGTTCTGCCATGGTAGACTGGTTAGCAAGGTTATATCACATGGAATACAGGCAGAGCTAGCCATTTAGATGTGAAATTGGCTTGAAAGTAGGAGACAGAGGGTGGTGGTGGAGGGTTGCTTTATAGACTGCTGGCCTATGACCAGCGGTGTGTCACAAGGATCAATGCTGGGCCCACTGCTTTTCATCATTTATATAAATGATTTGGATGTGAACATAAGAGGTATGGTTAGTAAGCTTGCAGATGACACTAAAATTGGTGTAGTGGACAGCAGAGGAGGTTACCTCAAAGTATAACAGGACCTTGATCGGATGAATTGATGGGCCGCGGAGTGGCAGATGGAGTTTAATTTAGATAAATGTGAGGTGCTGCATTTTGGAAAGGCAAATCAGGGCAGGACTTATACACTTAATGGTAAGGTCCTGGGGAGTGTTGCTGAACAAAGGGACCATGGAGTCGCAGGTAGACAGAGCGGTGAAGAAGGTGTTTGGTACACTGGCCTTTGTTGGTCAGTGCATTGAGTATAGGAGTTGGGAGGGTCATGTTGCAGCTGTACGGGACATTGGTGAGGCCACTTTTGGAATGCTGCGTTCAATTCTGGTCTCCCTGCTACAGAAAAGATGTTGTGAAACTTGAAAGGGTTCAGAAAAGATTTACAAGGATGTTGCCGGGGTTGGAGGGTTTGAGCTACAGGGAGAGGCTGAATAGGGCTGGGGCTATTTTCCCTGGAGCATCGGAGGCTGAGGGGTGACATTGTAGATGTTTTTCAAATCTTGAGGGGCATGGATAGGGTGAATAGCCAAGATCTTTTCCCCAGGGTAGGGGAGTCCAAAACTAGAGGGGCATAGGTTTAAGGTGAGAGGGGTAAGATTTAAAAGGGACCTAAGAGGCAACATTTTCACACAGAGGGTGGTGTGTGTATGTGGAATGAGCAAAATGGGCGATATGGACGAAATGCTGGCAAATAGGACTAGATTAATTTAGGATTAATATGACTCTGTGGCTTGGTTTGGGATATGAGGTCTGGATCTGGAGATGCAGCCTGCTCTGGGATATGTGGCCTGGTTCAGGAAGTGAGGCCTGGAACTGGAGATTTTGCCCTGGTCTGGAATATGAGGTGATGGCCTAGTGGTATTATCACTGACTGTTAATCCAGAGACCCAGGTAATGTTCTGGGGACCCGGGTTCAAGTTCCACCATGGCAGATGGTGGAATTTGAATTCAATAAAATATCTGGAATTAACAATCTAATGATGACCATGAATCCACTGTCGATTGTCGGAAAAACCCATCTGGTTCACTAATGTCCTTTAGGGAAGGAAACTGCCATCCTTACCTGGTCTGGCCTACATGTGACTCCAGATCCACAGCAATGTGGTTGACTCTTAGCTGCCCTCTGGGCAACTAGCGATGGGTGATAAATGCTGCCTGGCCAGTGACACCCTCATCCGCGAATGAATAAAGGATGAGACTTGGATGTGGAGATGAGGCCTGGATCTGGAGATGTGGCCTGGTCAGGGATATGAGGCCTGGTC